GCATTTTGGAAATCGAGGAAGGAAATCTTGATCCTTTTCGTGGAGAACGCGTTTCTTTCGTCCCAATTCGTTTCCCTGCCTCGTGGAGGAAAATTAGGTTTAAGGATTCGCGAGCGTACGTCGTTTGTTGAACGAAGAAAACAAAAGAAAGAGGGAAATAGTGAAAGGTTGAGAAAATTTTGACGTTCGATCGTCGGCGATGAGAAATCAGGAAAGCCCTGAACGACGTTTGAATAATATTGTTCACCTTTGGAGCTGGAAGCTAATTGTAAAATCGATCAACTGTAGAAGCAAAGAGAGGAGGGAATAAAATTTTTCAATCGTCAGTTTCCCCGAACGGATGAGGATCGACGTCTTTTTCTCACGAAAACGGCGAAATGGCTGCCTCTCGGTAACGATGATAAATCTCTGCTGTTCCGCGAACACCGATAGCCGCGGTGCTGCTAACAAGCTTTTCGTGATGGAAATCACGCAAGATTGAGACGCGTCGGACTCGCGATTGCCAGTTATTTCGCAACGCTCGATTAACCGGCAACTTACGAGACGCTGTCCAATTTATCAACGACCGTATGTAAATCTCAGTGCTAGCGCAAGAAGAATTTCGTTTGTCCAGCCGGGGTCTCGTATCGAGAGATCTTCTCGATCTCTCGTGCCGTAGTCGTACGAATTGACCATTAACCGCGCTAATAAAATCATTAGAGAGGATCGTTAAGCTGGGAAAATTTTCCGCTCTCCCTTATCAACGGCGGTGTCAAAGTTCACGGACAGAGATAGAGCGATAGAAAGATTACGGCTCTCCCATTTCGGTACGAGGAACGAAGAAGAAGAAGAAGAAGAAGAAAAAGAAACCGTCAGAAAAAAAATTCCCTCGTTGTTTCCACGAGCCGCGGCGGCCTCGGAATCGTCGATTCAACGATCTCAATTTAGCCGATTGCTCGTTATCAACGAGCGCGCCTGCCCGCGCGTGATTAATCCCGCCGGTGGAAGAAACTGGTCGGCCGGCACGTGCTCCGAGTTCACGGAAGCTGATCGATCACGAGAACGGTTGTCACGAGACAAACAATTGTCAAGCCGCGAATTAGATGGACGGCTGGACGGTTGCGGCAGTCGGCTCTTGGATCCGCTCGGCGAGCGATCCATTG